ACATTTCCTCCTATTTTAATCTCTTGGAAAGAACAATATAACTAGGATAAGGAACCATTGACTAAAAAACATCCAGAGCTCCCTGCATCCTGGAATAAATTGTTATATTGCCTTGTCTAGATTCTGACAAAGTAATTGCAAGAAGCTAACTCCAGGGGAGCAATTAGCAAGTTAGCATTTGCAGTCATGTGGGAGTGTGGATCCTACTTAGGGCAGAGAGCAGTTAAATATGTTGAGTATGAAATGCAGCAAGCACAGCTGAGGGCTGGGTCTCAGCTGGACTGCACTCAAGCTGGACCAGGAGGCTTACCTAGAGCAAAGCCTGTATCAGTGTCCTCTGATGGGGAGTACCCTTCCAGTGGACAGTAGCAGAGCATGCTGGGAAGAACTCCAGGAACAGAGGTCATGGCATCCAGAGGTCCCAGAAGTTCTCCAGGGAAATTTCACGGGGAGTTGGGGAATATATCTAAGTGGGTTTGACTGGAGCTGTAACTGAGAGAAGGAGCATGTATTCCCGTTGCTTCCAGATCCTCACTGATCACTCTTGGACCCCTTTTTCTGCCTCCCACCACTCTACTGGAACTGTTCACTCAGAGGTCACCAGTGACTTCCTAATTATGAAAATTATGTGCCTATTCTCAGTCCTCATCCACCTCACCATAGTTTTCCTCTTACTTCTCTGATAATTTCTCTATTCTGTGGCACTTCCTGCCTTCTAGTGAGGTGTATTCCCCAGCCATACCCTTTAATCCCCTTCCCACCTCTAGATTCCCTCCCTCCAAGATCTCCTCTCCTGCCGCTACTCTGAGCTGTTCTGGTGAGGACTCCGATCTCTCTCCAACCCTGGGCCCAGGGCCACCTCCGCTTTGCCATGCTGACCAACCCTCTTCTTCCTCTCTGCATCCACTCTCTCCCTGACTGCTGACCTCGACTAGCCCTCATTGTCTGCATCCACATCTTTCTACCCAACTAGACTGTGAGCAACGCTAATGCGATGCCCGAGATGGGTCTTCTTGGTAGCTGCCTACTGCCCACCCTAGCATCTGGCACACATTTTAAAAAGTCAGATCTTGGGCGCCTGGGTGGCTCAGATGGTTAAGCGTCTGCCTTCGGCTCAGGTCATGATCCCAGGGTCCTGGGATCGAGTCCCACATCAGGCTCCCGGCTCAGCGGGGAGCCTGCTTCTCCCTCTGACCCTCTCCCCTCTCATGCTGTTTCCCTCTCGCTCGCTCTCTAAAAAATAAATAAAATCTTTAAAAAAAAAAAAAAAAGTCAGATCTTGCCAGGAAATTCAGCTCTAAAATCAACATGTAAGGCGTAAATTGTGAATAACCAAATTACCTTCAAAGAAGCCCTTCGTCACCCATAAAACACACATGGTATCGTAAACCAGATGGCAAACAGCAAATGTGCCTTCCCCATCTCGCACTCCCTCTGGGCTGTTTTTTCACCGAGTGCCAGAGCTGGAACAGCCCCCCACCCATTGCATTGTACTCCCTGTCACTTCTTCCCACTTATGTTTCATTTTTCTGCTTGTACATTGATTGAACTTCTATAAATGAGAAGCATACAAAGCCATAACTCCATTGTAAGGGTTTGATGGAGGAATTCTCTTCTCTCTCCTTAAACATGGTTTTTCCTCGTGGCCTCCCGGTTTCCAATAATGACAGCACCTCACTGAATCGGGCTGAAAATTCCTTGGCTCCTCCCTCTCCCTCACTCCTGCTTTCTAGTTTCCAGGTTCTTGTTAGTTTTCCCTTTGCGCCGGGCCCCTCTGTCCCCGGTCTGTTGCCGCCCACATACTCCAGGCCCTGGTCACCTCCCATCCTGACTTCTACGAGAGCCTCCCAGCTGCTCTCGTTGGGCTTGCTGGTCTCTCTCCAATTTGTGTTTTGCTGCCATCAGATTAATAAATTCTTTTTTTTCCTTTTTTTTTTAAAGATTTATTTATTTATTTTAGAGAGAGAGTGCGCACGTGAGCACAAGCGGGAGGGGCAAAGGGAGAGGAAGAGAGAATCTGAAGTAGACTCTGTGCTAAGCGTGGAGCCCGATGCGGAGCTCGATCCCACAACCCTGAGATCACTTCCCAAGCCGAAACCAAGAGTCGGATGTCCAACCAACTGCACCACCCAGGCACCCCAGATTAACAATTTCGAAAGCACTGCTTTAGTCCTATCACTCCCTTAGTCGAAAGCCACTGATGGCTATCACATAGAGCCCACTCTCTCCAGCCCAGCATCCAAGGTCCTGAACAACAGGGACACAAGCTGTCTCCAGCCCTCCTTACCCCTCTCTCCAGACTGGAACACAACACTCCTTGCTTATCCCCCCACCTTCTCTCACCTGCATCACTTCCCTCCACCTACCTAAAGGCCCACCTCCACAAACGTCTCCACTTGCCAAAACCTAGTAGCCTCAGATGGTAGCATCCAAAGTGCCCCTCTTTCTTCTCGTTACTATAGCTCCTTCTCTGTACTACTCAGCTCCCACTACTACATAATATGTACCCTGAAGAAAAGAGAGGTGTCATATGTGATTTTTATTCATCTGCTCATTCAGTGTATATTATTGAGCGTTTACAATGTGCCAGGCACTCAACTAGGTACTGAAGATATGCAGTGAAGATGGATGCCACTCACAGAACTCACGGTTTGGCAATGGAAGGTGGGGGCGGATAAGCTGTGAACTTCACACAGGCCGGGAGAGGAAAAGTGAAAGAGGAGAACCTCACCCTGCCACTGGTCAGAAAAAGCTTCCCCAAATAAGTAACATGTGAGCTGAGATCTACAGAATGAGTAGAAAGTAGTCAGGCAGAGGGGGAAGAAAAGAATTGTACAGGTTGAAAAAAAAGTACAGGGAAAAAAATTTTTTTTAAGCCTGAAGATAAGAGAGGACATGACTCATTAGAACCAATGACTGGGGAGACAAGCACAAACCTACCTCGTAAGGCTTATAAGACAGGCAAAAGGGTTGGGTTAGATCCGGAGACCAAGAGAGAGTTTTAGTTATCTGTGGAGATCCCTTTCAAAGCAGGGCCAACCTTAGTAGTAGTATAGACTCAAAAACAAACAAACAAACTGAATTTATTGGTTTCACCTTCCCTGAATTTTTAAACAGGCAAAATCTGATCAAGATAAATTTAGGAGGGGGCGCCTGGGTGGCTCAGTCGTTAAGCGTCTGCCTTCGGCTCGGGTCATGGTCCTGGGGTCCTGGGATCGAGCCCTGCATTGGGCTCCCTGCTCAGTGGGGAGTCTGCTTCTCCCTCTCCCACTCCCCCTGCTTGTGTTCCCTCTCTCACTGTGTCTCTCTCTGTCAAATAAATAAAATCTTTAAAAAAAAAAAGATAAATTTAGGAGATGCAAAACAGGATAAGGCCCTCAGATAATTTTTGATATTTCTACCCATCAAATGCTGCCTCCCTGTATCTGCCCAACTGATGACTGTCAGGATCATCAATAGCTCCTGACTTCCCCAAATCCTAGGCCCCTGGGCATTGTTCCAGAATTTGTCACACTCTTGAAATAGTTCTTCCAATGACATTCTAAATTGTTGAAAAACTAATTCAGGGGCGTCTGGGTGGCTCAGTCGTTAAGTGTCTGCCTTCCGCTCAGGTCATGATCCCAGGGTCTTAGGATCGAGCCCCGCATCGGGCTCCCTGCTCCACGGGGAGCCTGCTTCTCCCTTTCCCACTCCCCCGGCTTGTGTTCCCTCTCTTGCTGTGTCTCTCTCTGTCAAATAAATAAAATCTCAAAAAAAAAACCCACAACTAATTCATTCATCAGAGCATTTAAATTGGATCACATATCTCGTTGGTGAAACGTGGGGTTTTTTCCTCCATGTACTCAACAAGGAAATCTCTGGCTTATTATTCTGGCCCCAGAATAAGAACCAGAGGCCTCCAGTTTTGGAAGAGGATCATTTTCACAATGTACTATCACCACCTAGTGGTCCCAAACAACCTCACCAAGTGATCCAGAAAAATTTCTATCTTCCCGGGAATGACTCTTCATCTCCCCAGAAATTTTTGTTTCTCTATAAAGATAATCTAGGGGTCGATTGTCTAATACGAAATAGGTATTCAGTATTTATTAAATAAATATATAAACAGAAGGACAAAATAATTTCATACCCTGGTACCTTCTGGTAACTGAAAGAGACAATTTAGAAAGTCTTTCCCAGATTGCCCTGGATTCCCAAGGGCCTCTAATCATTCTTATCCAACAGCCAGAGGTATTTCTGCCTTTAATTTAGCAAACAATTCCTTTAAGCACATTTTAATAAATGGATTTTTTAAAAATATTTTATTTATTTATTTATTTGACAGAGAGAAACAGCGAGAGAGGGAACACAGCAGGGGGAGTGTGAGAGGGAGAAGCAGGCTTCCCACTGAGCAGGGAGCCTGATGTGGGGCTTGATCCCAGGACCCTGGGATCATGACCTGAGCCAAAGGCAGATGCTTAATGACTGAGGCACCCAGGCACCCCAAAACGGATTTTTTTAAGGGTCACTGCTACCCTGGCTGAAACCCTGACTCCATCCCATCAAAGGGAGTTTACTGTAACCCAGAAACAATGAAGAACAGAGTCTGTTAGCCCAGATGTCAGGACCAATACCTAAACAAAGGAATCGCTGGCCCCACAGGGAGAAGACTGTGGACACAGACAGTCTGAAGACTCTTCCACTTACTTTGCTTTCACACACAAGTCAAACCAAGCCAGGTGTCATGGGGAAGTGTGCTCAGAAAACATGGTGACCCAAACACAGTGGCCTACCACTAGTAAGGATCACAAAGAACGATAGAAAAGAAAAAAAGAAGCCAGAGCCTTTTATAAGGATCCAGGACAATCTTCCAACTAGCTAAGTCCTAAGACCTCTTGTCTGCTTAAATGTGTAAAGCGGATCTCCAAGCAACTCTAGCTAGAGCCTCCTGGCTGTTGGGCCTTAGTTCTCCTGATGCCCATGGCACAGATGGTGAGGAAATGGCAGTTAGCAACAGTTACCTGGCTCCTCTTCTCTCAGAACATTGGGAGGCTAATGCAAAGTGTTCATGAGGGCTCCTTCCCCTCAGTCAGTTCTTTTCTACGTGGTCTCATCCTTCCTTTCAGATGAAGACTGTCCCAGGCTCCGCCGTGCATTAAAGAGAGGGAATCAGAGAGGCATCAGAGTTCAGTGGATGAGAGGAGCAAGGAGCCAGGTTCTAAGCCCAGCCCCCTTCCCTTGCTGGCCTTAGATTTCTGGCAAATGACTTCACCTCTCCAGTAAGCCCTCCAGGTCCTATGGTGAAGGTTGTGGACCAACTCTAGGGTTGCCGCTCATATTGTAATCATTGTAGATTTGTTTTGAGGGAATTTTCAACAGGTAGTAAAGTGTCTTAAAGGATGCCTTTTTTTTTTTTCTAATTCACTAAGGCCCCGAATGAGTTATCATCAGCCCTAAATTCTGAGCCTCAGTCTTCTAATCTATAAAATGGAGACAATCCACATTTATCTATAGAGTCGGCCAGAAATAGTGGGTATAAACTGCCTTGAAGACTGTAATGTGGCATGCAGATTATATTGTCCTAAATTCTGTTTGCGATTTGAGGGATTGGTATAACAGAGGAGAGAGAAACAGGTTTCAGCCCACAAATGGTTTTCCTCCCTTCGAAAACAGAAGCGAAAGGCCAGTGTTCACACTTGATCTTAGCCAAAAGGCCGAGAAGCGATTGCGAAGGCCAGTGTTCAAATAGCAAACATCTTCTCATTCAAAATATGTCGCGATTCAAAAGTAACTTTGTACTCATCAACGAAACTGAAAAGAATGTGCCAATTTCTAACAGTTGCTTAACTAAGTACGTAGTTGTATCAGTAATAGAATTTCTCAAAAACAAACTGAGGGTTCTAGAGGGGAGGGGGGTGGGAGGATGGGTTAGCCTGGTGGTGGGTATTGAGGAGGGCACATTCTGCATGGAGCACTGGGTATTATGCACAAACAATGAATCATGGAACACTTCATCTAGAACTAATGATGTAATGTAATGTAACATAAGAATAAAAAAAAATAGTTAGAATTTCTCTTTGAGTCTTCAGATAAAATGAGCAAATGAAAGCTCAGCCCTGGGGCGCCTGGGTGGCTCAGTCGTTAAGCGTCTGCCTTCGGCTCAGGTCATGATCCCAGGGTCCTGGGGTCGAGCCCCGCATCGGGCTCCCTGCTCTGCGGGAAGCCTGCTTCTCCCTCTCCCACTCCCCCTGCTTGTGTTTCTGCTCTCACTGTCTCTCTCTCTGTCAAATAAATAAAATCTTTAAAAAAAAAAAAAAAAAAAGAAAGCTCAGCCCTGCCCCCTCCTCAGCCTCACTACTGACCACTGGAAATTGGGTTTGCCTGAGTGGACAGGTCTGAGGCAAGACCAAGGAGTTGAAAAAAGGTGTCATTTTTAAGTTAACCCACACAAATCATTCTACAATGTAATGTACATTCGAGACATAATTATTTGCAGAAAAATAGCCCAGATGACACCTCTCGGATTCCTCTCACTATCAAGATTCAGCTAAGTATAGTTCAGTCTAGTAACACAAATGATGTCATATATAATTTTGATTTGGCTTGGGAGAAAGGAACAAGTAGGCAGCAGTTTTAGCTTTCTAATTTGGTCTGTTTTGAGACAACGTTAAAAAAGATTTAACATTTAATCTGCTTTCCTTGTACAAACTGTACTTAGCAGAACCAAATAATTGATGAGGGATAAGTTTCTCTTATAAAAAGATGTCAGGGGGGCACCTGGGTGGCTCAGTCGGTTGAGCGGCCGACCCTTGATTTTGGCTCGGGTCATGATCTCACAAAGACGGAGCCCCATGCTCCAAGCTTAGCAAGGAGTCAGCTTGGGAGTCTCTCCCTCTCCTTCTGCCCCTCGCCCCGCTTGTGTGCTCTCTCTCTAAATGAATAGATAAATCTTAAAAAAATAAAAAAGATGTCAGGCCCAGTCCTGAGTTTCACTTCTGGCATAAGAGTGTAAGACGTTCGCAGACTGCTGTCCAATGAAACTGGTGAAAATTATTTTTAAAAATATGTTTATGTCTCTGAAAATGGCCCTAAGAGCATACAGCACATTGTTTAAGAGAATCTACAAAAGCTCGGTAGTAACTGAGTCTGCTATGTGACCCTAGAGCCGTGCTCTCCCCGTCCCCACCCCAGTTTCGGTGAGACAGAAACGACTCCAGACTGCTACTGCCCAAGAACACAGGGCTCCCCCTCCCAGCTCCAAGGCAGAGGGCTGGTCTCCTCAGGAAGGACAGGATGTCATCATTTCTCATCCTCCCCCAGCTGCTGGTAGCTGAGGCTAAGTGCTAGTGAGTACCACCAATGGTCTGGGCTCTCTTCTTCCACCCAGCTCCCACTTCTGGGAAGGAGACCTGACCCTGGGTGCAGAGCTGGTGAGAATAATGGGCTCCAGCTGCTTTGACAGCAGCTCACGGCCCAGGGGCCCAGGGCAGGGGCCTTCACTGCCCGCATCTAAGCTACTGGGTACCTGAGATTTCCACTATATTATTCTCCTGACTTTTAGGTAATTTTGAAAATTTTCTATATTAAAAACTTTAAGGACAAAAACACGGGGAAAAAATCCTTCCAAAAACCAAATTCAAGGTCCCCTGAGACTCTGAAATTCTGAGTCTTTATGAGCATCACTGAAACATTCCCACAGACTCAGTAATTTAGAAGCTGGAGCTTTAGACTCTTTCAGGTTAATACATATACTATTTGAAAGTGATTATTGGGTGCCAACCCCAAAAAAACCATTTCCAGAGAATGAGAGGAAAATCTAGAACACAGTAGGGGTTCCCATAGGCCAAACTCATCTCCGCCCCCCCCCCTTTTTTTTCCGGTAACCTCTATGCCCAATGTGAGGCTGGAACTCACAACCTCAAGATCAAGAATTGTACACTCTACCAAATGAGCTAGCCGGGTGCCCCAAAACTCATCTTCCTATAACTGGAAACCTTTCAGAGCTTCAGAGGGGAGATAAAAGTGACCCAGAAAACACATGGCAGAAACATCTCTCCCCTCCTCCCAGAAACAGAATGAGTCTTTTCCTTAAGCAGTTGTGTTTAATCACTAAAATTATTCTGTCCCTAATGAAAGAGAAACAATCTCAGTTTAAGAAGGGGGAGGCTTTTTCTCCCTCACTGATTTTAGAGGTAAGGAGAAGTGAATGAAGAAAGCAGAATTCCTACAGTCAGGCCCTGGTAAAGGCTCCCGGGAGCAGAAGTCCCCTCTCCGTTCTGTCCTTACGTCCAAGGTCACTGTCCTTGGCATTCCAAGCATCCTGCTCTGGAGTAAGACTGTCCTGTGAAATCCCATACGACTCTTCACTCTGTGACCCACAGAGCTGGTTCTCCTCATCCTCATCATCAGTGGCCTGAAGAATCCTCAGGAGTTTGAGCTCAGGGTTCCACCCTCTTCTAGATGTATCGTCTAAGAGGTCCTCTGAGCTCCTCTCTCGGGATTCCAGCACAACCTCTTCCTGAGCGCTGATGTCCTTGTTAGAGGGTTCTATCTTGGATAACTCAGGATCTAAAAGAAGACCCAGCCATTAACTGCACCTGCAGCCCTCTCCCAAATGTGACAAATGGAGGACAGAAAAGGAAGGGCTGGGTGTCTTTAGGACCCTTCTGAGGGATGAGGACTATGGCCTCCAGGGAGGTGAACCATCCTTGTCAACATAGGTTCAGCTCTCACTGGCCTGAGTGACTTACTAAGGTCCCTCCACCCTAGTAACTTACCATCCTTATCAGGGAAGGACTCCAGATAATTCTCAGAGTATTCCATCTGTGGCCTCCTTGTGGAACCCTGAAATTCATTAGAGTAAGTGTAAGGAAACTTGAATCAAGACTTTAAGAAAGAAAAGATTTTTTTCTTTTTTTTTCTTTTTTAAGATTTTATTTATTTGACAGAGAGAGAAACAGCGAGAGAGGGAACACAAGCAGGGGGAGCGGGAGAGGGAGAAGCAGGCTTCCCACGGAGCAGGGAGCCTGACGCGGGGTTGATCCCAGGACCCTGGGATCACAACCTGAGCCAAAGGCAGATGCTTAATGACTGAGCCACCCAGGCACCCCTGGACTTGTGGTTTTTTGACCAATGAAATGTGGCAGAAGTGACATTGTTCCAGTTCCAGCCCCATCTCTCAAGGAAGTGCTTCCACGAGATTACCATACTATCAAGAAACCCAAACAAGGCACAATGAAGAGACCTCATGGAAGAGAACTAAGATGATTTGGCTAACAGCCCCACCCCAGCCGCCAGCTGAAGGTAGGTGCATGAGTGACATCAAGCAACACCAGAAAAACTGTCCACTCACCCCTCAGAATCCCAAGGAACGGCCAACCACTGTGGTTTCAGCTTTGACGTCGTGTGTTAAACAGTAACAGGTAACAGAAACAGGGCCCTAGCAGAATGGTTCTGGTGCTCTTACCTTTTCCAAGTTGGGTCCTTCTGACTTTGTCCGCTGTGGATGCTTTTTGTCAGTTTTCCGACTTAGTAGAGTTCTGTGACCTAGTGACCACGAAGTCAATTCAATTCTCTTCTTACTGTTATTTCATATCCCACTGTTGGGCTTCTAGTTGACCCCTAGCCTACAAGTGACTCCTCATCTTGGACAAGACAGGTTAGAGGAGGTGAAAGGGAGTTGGGCCTCTGAGTTCTCCTGTGGCTCTGTTCACCTGGGACTGGGACCACATCTGTCACAGAATTTGAGATTAAGGTCAAGGGAAAGACTTAGGGAAAAACAAAAAAGACTTAGGGTTCCTCCAAGAAACCCAAGGGGCAGGTATCTGCACATCATAGCAGCAAAAGAAACCCTGACCCTATGTTTTTGGTTAATGAAGACTCCTCTTACCTTCTTGCACCAACCCTAATGTCCCCATACTGGCTTCTGAAAATGAAACTCCTTCCTTCCAAAAGCTCTAGTTCTCTGATTCTTCTGCATCAGCTGTTTCCCCAGTGAGTCCTTAAATGCACTCATCTTGTCCTTTCTCAATTCCCTTTCTCTAAATGAACATCTTCTGGGGCACCTGGGTGGTTCAGTCAGTTAAGGGTCTGCCTTCAGCTCAGGTCATGATCCCGGGGTTCTGGGATCGAGCCCCACATCGGGCTCCCTGCTCTGTGGGGAGTCTGCTTCTCCCTCTCCCTCTGCCTGCCACTCTCCCTGCTTGTGCTCCTGGGCTCTCTCTCTGTGTCAAATCAATCAGTCAATCTTAAAAAAAAAAAAGAAGAGAACATCCTCCAAGCTGCCACCCGAGGTGTTATGCAAAAAGGCAAAGCCAGTCGAGGAACTCCCTTGCTGAGCACTTCTGTTGGCTCCCTACCAGCCTGGTTCTTACCTTAGCTGCACACTTGAAGCACCAGGAGTTCTGGAAAACACTGAGGCCTGGGTCCCAACACCAGAACTTCTGACTGAATAGGTGCGGGGTACGTCCTGGGTATCTGGGTTTTAAAAGCTCCTCAGTTGGGGCACTTGGGTGGCTCAGTCAGTTAAGCATCTGACTCGACTTCAGGTCAGGTCATGATTTCAGGGTCATGATCTCAGGGTCATGAGATTGAGCCCCACATTGGACTCTGCGCTGGAGGCGTGGAACCTGCTTATGATTCATTCTCTCCCTCTCCCTCTGGCCCCTGCTCACACTCTCATACTCTCTCTCTCTTTTTCTCTCTCTCTCTCTCTCTCTCTCACTTTCTCAGAAAAAAAAAGAAAATCTCAGTTGATTTCAGTGTGCGGTCAGGGGGTGGAGCACCATGACCATGGTCAAACATCTTAGCAAGCTATACAAGCTACTGCCTACCTCTTCAGCCTGACCCTTTACCACTGTCTCTTTCATAACCCACAGCCACGATGGACCACCGTGTTCCCTGTGCAGCCATGCTCCTCCTAGGTGCGCCCGAACAGGCTATTCCCACCTCTGGAGTTCTCTTCCGTATCAGAAAGACTCTCACACATTCCAGATCCAATGCAAAAATCAACTCTTCATAAGGCCTTTCTCAACCCAGTGAGGACAGGCCACTGCTCCAAGAACATAATTCAAAAAGGCACCCCAGTCACCCAAGCAAATCTGCTCCTACTGGAGACATCAGGAAGAGGAATGAAAAGCACCTGAATGAATTCAGGGGAGTGCTGATCACCCTGGATGGAGTGCTAACCTTGGACCTGTCAGCCTTACCCTGGGCTACAGCCCTGGTTTTGTCTACCTCCCATGTGAATGTCAGGAAGCTTCTTAGTTCTGCAGGTCAGGGGCCACTGTTGGCATCTGAGAGCTCAGTGGGATGGGAAATAAACCAAGAGAGGAGCATTCTTCTGGGGAAACAGCTCACCTGAGCCCTCTCACTGCCCTAGGAGGGGGAGAGCGAATTCTGATGAGGAAGCAGTCAACAAGGTCCACTCTGAGTAGGGCCGAAGAAGCTCCTAAGGTTTAGGAGGATTCTTTCTCCCTCCCTTTCTTTCTTTCTTTTTGTCTGCGCTCAAACTAAGCAACATCAGAGGGACCAGGGTAAGGATATCTTTCAGCTCAGGCACGTGATTAGGATTCCAAAAAGGGGAGCTACCTATTCTGGTCTTCAGCATGAACACCACAGGAAAAGAACTGCCTGTCAAGAACTGGCCACCTGCCTCCTAGAGGGGTCTAGATAATGTGCTGACCTCAACCTGAGCCTCCAGGAACTAACTTGTGGCTGGGAAGCGAGGGAGCCTGGACTCTGCTTCCTTAGAACCCTCTTGGGGCCAGACAGGGGCCCTGGCTCTTTCCTGCTTCATGGCTTGCTCTTCATTCTCAAACCACTCCATCTTTCCTAAAGTAAGACCTGAGGAAAAATGACTCTGACTCATGCTCATGGTCATCTCTCAAACACCCACATGAAGCAGACATCTGGCCCAGCTTGCTTCCTTAGTAAATATTTGATGGAAAGATGATGCACGGAAGCCCAGCCAAGCCAGAACATTCTGAGGAGAACTGTGAATGCCTAATGAAGGCAGGTCCCAAAATGACAGACGTGTCCGGCTTTTCCCGTCCTCAGCTACGTCCTGAGATCCCATCCCTCCCAAACCCATATTCTCCTTACCATAGCGTGGGCCACACACCACGGCACCTGAACATTTATGCAAAATGTCCTGGCTCCCTGGATCACTCTTGGATTTCTTTTTAGCCTCCTGAAACCCACATGAGGAGGAACTGAATTAGGACCTTTGGAAGTGAAGAAAACGTTTCAAAAAGAGTCTAAAAGAAAGAAGTTAGTGTCTGCAAGCAGACAGGAACTCTGTATCTAGAACCAGATGGAGAACAGGGAGACTCGCACCTCCTCCATCCCTTCCCATTCCAGGCTGCACCCCGTGGCCCGTCCCAGCCGGTCCTCCGGCTTCCCTCACGGCCACTCTACCTGTCTCTTCGGTGGGGTTTTCACCCTCCTCTGCCGCTGCTTCTTGTGACCTGGTGACCAGAGCACAGGCTCAATCCTCTTCTCCCTGGCGTTGCCCACCTTCCCCGGGGGCTGCTTGCTGGGCCCTGCTCCACAACAGTGACACCCACTCTGTCAGAACCAAGCCTTTTGTGGTGGAGGAGGGGGGCTGCCTCCTGAAACGGCAGTTTCCCGAGTTCTACACGGGACCTTGCATGACTGTGGCCACAAACATAACAAACCGGGACCCAGACCAAGTATGAGAACTGTGGGCTGACGGCGGGGACAGTACCTGAGGATCTGGCCAGATCCACCAGAAAACCTACCTTCTATGTTCGGGGTGTAATATAATTTCTTCAGCTGTCTAGGATATCTCAATGCTGGTCTCTGGAGGGAAAAAAAAGAAAGAAAAGACAAAGAAGAGGAAAAGCTCTACTGAAGGTGTTTCCTTTTCCCAAGACATACCCTTCAAATGCAGGTAGGTACCCACATAGCCAACGAGCACTGTTTGAGAACCAGGTATGCGCAGCGTTGTAGCAGGGCTCTGGAGAGAGGAGCCGGAGTGGGGAACAAAGTGCAGGAGAAACAGAGAATGTTCCTCAAACCCCTCCCCGTGCTTTGCTTTTGCCTACATATAGCCCAGCCCTTCTGTGAGGCTTGGGTCCAGCGTGGAAGGGTAGAGAGAAAGAAGAAAGAGAACATCAACTCCTCCAGCCTTGAAGAGAAACGAGTCTGGATTTGCATCTAGACCTCTGTCTCCGAGGCTCCCTAGCTCTCACCTGCAGGGTGAGACGGTGTATGGATAAGAACATCTTAGCAGAAATGGCACTGTCGGGTCGGCTCTTTTCCAGGGGAGCTTTCTTCTTCATCATGGCCAATTGTGTCTTCATCTCCAGGGAAGGCATGGTTTTCCCTTCATCAGGTAAGAGGCTGGAGGGGACAGAGACAGCCAGTCAGCAACAGTTCTTCTTGGAGAGCGTGGCTGAGGAAAAAGGCATGGAAAGGACTCCAAATTTGAATAAATTTCCACTGTGGGCCTAGAAAGACCTAAGCCAATAGGTGCTCATCGGGCAACAGCTTTCAATTAGCTGAGGACAGGCGTTCTTATCCCCATTTTGCAAACGAGGGAATGAGGCATAAAGATGCTAGATAAATTACCCAAATGCACAAAACTGGGAAGTTTCAATGCAAAATCCAAAGGCTGTCTCACTCCAAACCACACTGCCCTTCTGCCTCCCACTTATCCGTAACTCGTTTATAAAAAGAAGAGAGTGAAGGCTCCTGGCTGGCTCAGTCAGCGGAGTATGGAATTCTTGATCTCAGAGTCATAAGTTCAAGCCCCTTGTTGAGCATAGAGCTTACTTTAAAAAGAAAAAGGAGAAGGAGAAGAAGAGAGTAATAGTGCCTAGTAGAGGTTCAAATAAGAAAATAGGCTTTTTGAGAGAGATTGCAGCCCTCCATTGAAGTTGGCTGTGATTGCTCAGGATTCCAAATAAATTGATTTGAGAAGAGAAGAGGAGCCTCACCTAACATTGGCGGTTGACACTTATCCTTTGGGGTCCTTTATTTGGCAGGAGAGTTGGTAAAGTGAATGATAAATGCTGTTTTTATAGGATAAGCCTGGAAGCTTGGAAGCTTGGGCACATTTGACCCTTTTTATTTTTATTTTTATTTTTTTTTAAGGATTTTATTTATTTATTTGACAGAGAGAGAGACAGTGAGAGAGGGAACACAAGAAGGGGGAGTGGGAGAGGGAGAAGCAGGCTTCCCGCAGAGCAGGGAGCCCGATGCAGGGCTCGATCCCAGGACCCTGGGATCATGACCTGGTCCGAAGGCAGACGCTTAACGACTGAGCCACCCAGGCGCCCCTTGACCCCTTTTTAAAACTGCACTTTATACTAAATTTGGGGAACAAGTTGAATGTTCTATAGGACAGGTGCCCATTGAAATTTGAGGAATGCAGACAGCACTGAACATGGGCATGTCTATTAAAACAGTCTGGTCTTTTGACCCACAAGCCCAAAGATTCCAGAATGCCTATGAGGAGAAAACTTCTCTTAAGGAAACTAAGACACTACTTCTACCATTCTCAAGTAAACTGGGTTTTCTAACTACATAACTGAGTGGAAAACAGAAGCCTATCAGATCCTAAGTGTGTCTTATTAAAGATCCAGGTCTGTTTATAATGTATTTATGAATTATAATAAAGATGACTGTATATCTGAAAAACAAAACAAAACAAGAGAATAGACGTAATGTGCTTCTATAGCGCAGGGCCGGGCAAGTGGTAAGTACTTGATAAATGGTGGTCATTACCGTCATCACTGTACATTGGTAAGTCTCCGAACTCACTGAACAAGCAGAGGGGACAGTTCTTCTCCCCTCCTTACTCAGGAAGAGCATGCGACTTAGTGCCTTCTCTGCTTCAGAGAAGAGCAGGTCCCCTGGCTCTCCCACAGGCTTACATGATACTTACTCCTTCAGTAGATCCTGAGGTAACATGTCAAATTGGTTCCAGAAAGGTATGGATTCTGCGTTTAGTTGCTCAAAAAAGTGTACTGGTGAGGGGGGAGGCACAATCATCCCTGGAGGTCCCAGCTGTGTTTCTGTTTTCTGCTTTCCACAGCGAAAATTGTCTTTCTAGAAAAGCAACAATGGAAAGTGCCACTCCTTCCCATCAACATTCCAGCCTCCCAACATAACCCTGGCATGCCAAACTCCCTGTTTCCAGACCCACTCCAGCAGCAACCCCTCCTTTGCACTATGAAGGCCACCATATTTTCCCTCTCTGGCTCCCCACCCCATTGTTGAATTCAGATCATACAGGGATTCATTGCTTTGGTTTTTTTCCCAAAAAGGTTATTAATTCATTCACTGAGCAAAACTGAACAAATATTTATTGGCCAACTATGTGCCAGGTGCAGGGCTCACACTGGGGATTCAGCAATGAACAAAGTGGACCAAGACACTACTCTGATGGTTGTAGCAACCTTCCAGCTCTGTTACTTACCCAAGGTTACATTTACCCATAAGTGGTGGCATAAGGATGAGAAACCCAAGTCCATTATAACCCCTAGTCCACTGAAGCTCTCTTTCTATCACACCAGGAATTTGTCAAAAACTCCCCCTGAATATCCAAGGCTTCCTCCTAACTTTTCTTCAAGATGCTCTTCACCTTCCTACAGGGAGTGGGTAGGGAAGAGAGTCTCTCAATAGAAAATGCTTTGGTAATTATTCCTTAAAAGGGGTTTTCTTTTGCAAGTTTTATTCATTTAAAAAGAATGGGGGAAGGGGGAAAGTACCTGAAAGGAAAAACAAAATTCTACAGAGTAATCTCATAAAGGTTTGACCAAAACATCAAACTTACCCCTGTAGATTTCATTCTTCTCTTCATCCAGTCCTGGCTGGGAAGAATATGCTTCTTCTCAGCTGGACTTGAAATAAGAACAATCACAATTTATTCCCAGACATCTCAAACAGAAGCACCAAGGGTATTTGTGAATGATGACCATGGAGATTTCTATCCTCTCTTCAGTACTCAAAGATGGCTGCTTGGAAGCCTGGAGGAACCAACTGCCCAGAAGCTGTGAGAAATAAGACCTAACCTCACATCTACATTAGGTTCCCTGCCATTCTCTCCTACAACCCAGTTATTTGCTTTCATAGCATTAATCCAAATTAGTAATTATATACTTCAGTATGGTGATATTTGTAAAGCCTGAATCCCAACCCTCCCACCCCTCCCACCACCACCCCCCACCACCACAAGACTCTAGGAGGACAGGGAGCAAGTCTATTTGGTTCTTCACTGGATTCTCACTGCTTAGCACAGAGGAGGTGCTCAAGTATTTTTTGCTCCGTCATCTTCCACCTCCTTGCCTGGAACACGTATATGATGGCTGGAGCACTAGCCGTCAACTTAGACCTTCAAAGCCCCCATGAGACACCTTAGAAAATGAAAGCCACAGGCTAAGGATGATGACCAGAGAGCCCGAAGGAGTTCTGGTTTCTGATGAACACGTGGAGCTGAGGTACTAGCCCTGATCCACCCAAATCTGGGCTTTTTTTTACACGAAAGAAGTAAACCTCTAGGAGTTTTTTGTTTATATCATATATATATATACATATATATGTGTATATATATGTATATATATATACACATGCATAAGCACTGACAGGATAATTAAAAAATCAAGTAAGAAGAAATTCTTAAATCACATCCTATCTACATAGTCACTTAACAAGAATCCAAAAGCCTTAGCATTCATGAAAGAAAAACCAAACACCTTTTTCCAGTGGTTATCAGTATTATCAAGCCTTTGGGCCCTCACCCAATGACCCTTCTGCTTTGTACACAAGTCCTACAGGCTATTCATCTTGTGCCACTGCGCTAGGCCTTGGGGCTGGGACCAAAGATTCACGCGCTTCACTCAAAATGTTTTCACTAGCTGGGGATGGCTAATAAGAAAAACTGATAGGGGCGCCTGGGTAGCTCAGTCTGTTAAGTACCTGCCTTCAGCTCAGGTCATGATCTCAGGGTTCTGGGATCAAGCCCGGCAAGCACGGGGCTCCCTGCTCAGCAGGGAGTCTGCTTCTCCCTCTCCCTGTGTCCTTCCCCACAGCTTGTGTTCCCTCCCCACTGCTTGTGTTCTCTCTCGCTATCTGTCTCTCTCAAATACATAAATAAAATCTTTAAAAAAGAAGAAAAAGAAAAACTGATCATCAGGAAGCGTCTGTTTCTTAGCCCTCACAAATCTACAGGCCCTATCTTGCCTGTTACTTAATGCCATGTAGGATCTGATGTAGAGAAGCCCCAACGCAGGAAGCACAAAGTGCATTAAATAGAACCCCAGTGAAGCAGGAAGCAAATACAAGAGACCGTGACCTTCTTCTCTAGTTGACCTCCTGTTACTTGCAATGAGGTGGCTAAAAGGGAGATCACAAATAGGAGGCCTGCGCAGGGCAGGAGGGACTTGCAGAACGTAAGGGCGGAAGGCTCCCAAGTTCTGGACACAATACTCACCTCACATGCCTCTCTGGTTGTTCTGGGATCCAGATTACAACCATATTTCTAACATCTTGAGGGCTGGGAAGGTGGGTCTCATTCAAATTCAGCACTGAAAGCTAAGAGAAAGATGTAAAGCCTATATGTGGCTTGAAGGTACCAGCTCCTGATGGTATTCAGAACAGGCTAAGAACTGAATTACCATGGTAATGAAAAGGGTATGCTGGTGCAGAAGATGACAAAAAGACATTTCTCATCCCCAGATTGTCTTCATAACAATGCCCTAAGAAACCAGATACCAGTACAGTACTCTGCAAGAGTGAGCATTTTAAGTGAATAGTCTCCTCTGCCTCCCTGTGACATCATTTAGCAACTCCCCACCCCATATCCCCTAGAGGGGAACTTGGGGTTTGCCTAAGGGAATGCACTCATTCTGCCTACTCCACTCCAAACACTTAGATCCCCTGCAGGTAACAGAATTTGGGAACTGGGAGGGAATTGGTAGGGACAGAAGCCAGTTTTCTGCTTTTACCGCCTGTCTATAATTAAAGGCATCTACATAAAAGTTAAGATCACAACACTTTTCACGTTCAGACATTTAAGATATTAGAACACTGGTGCTCAAGGAAACCTTATAAATGATCTAGTCCCTACCCCTGGTAGGATACAGGGAACAAGAAAACAAAAACAAAAACAAAAACTAATAAAAATTCAGCGCCTGGGTGGCTCAGTCAGTTAAGTGACCGAATCTTGATTTTGGCTCAGGTCATGATCCCAGGGTCCTGGGATTGAGCCCCATTTCAGGCTCCGAGCTCCTGAGCTCAGTAGGAAATCTGCTTGAGATTCTCTCTCTCCCCCTCTGCCCTTCCCCACTGCTTGCGTGCTCACTTCCCCGACCCTAAGAGATAAATAAATTTTTTAAAAAATAGCGTTGTCCTATGAAAAGGAACTGAAGGGCTTGGGGGACTAGGGGAGACTTCTTTGCACCGTAAACCCTTTCATGTTTTTTGAATTTTGAACCATTTGCAAGTACTAGCTATTCAAATATCTTAAAATGAATTTAATCTAACCCCTTGTTCTAAAGAGGTCAAAGAGGAGAGTGATTTGTTCATTCATCCATTCAAACACATCTACCCTCTCTCTGTCCCTTATACTCTCCACCATGTGACAGTGAAAGGTAAAGTATCTCTTGAAAAAAATAAAAGGCATCCGTAAGACTGCAAAGAAGAGTAAATCTCTCTTTATGGTAGATAAGTAGAAGGGCTTTTCCTCCTAAACTCTAATTTAGCTCGGCCTCTAACTAGCTATGTGCTTTAGCAAATCACTTCCTTATCTGGGCCTCAGTTTTCTCAACTGTAAGACATAAGAGACAGACCACAGTAATGTTCTTCAACTGCAACTGCAACTAATTCATAGGTCATGGGACCAACTTTTGTGAACTGTAGCCTACATTGCTTAGAAGAAGAATAGAGGGGCGCCTGGGTGGCTCAGGCGGCCCTGCGTCTGACTCTTGATTTTGGCTCAGGTCATGATCTCAGGGTCGTGAGACTGAGCCCCGCATTGGGCTCCTCGCTGAGTGTTGAGTGTGGAGCCTGCTTAGGATTCTTTCCCCCTCTCCCTCTGTCCCTCCCCTGCTCATGCGTGTTCTCTCAGTCTTAAAAAAAAAAAAAAAAGTAAAATAGAATAGGACAGAAAATATCAGAGTGCATTACTCATAATTATGGTAAGGATTGTTTTATGCTATTTTGTTGCAAAATGTATTTTTTACTGTAGGTCATAGCAGCTAAAAAGTTGGATAGTCATCAGAATAGATGACCTGAAGGCACATTTTAGGTGTGACAGTCCAGCATTCTAATTTCCCCATATTATGAGATGACAGGGTTTACTTAGTAGCTGAACATGCTCTTTGCAGGATACAGACAGAAAAGTCTTACCATTGATCCCACTAGCGTCTGGGATTTCTGGAGACAGTATAGCACGTAAAGGCTTAGTACAAAGCCCAGCATATACTTAAGGGCCCAATATTAGATAGTTATCATTGTCATTATTCAGATCATGGTCATCCTGAATGGTATACAGAGGCAAGTATTTTATTCCCACTAGTAAAGAGAAAATGCTGAAGAAGTACCTTTTTTAATCTGTGATTTACTTTAGGAGATCTATCAGGATGGTCGATTAAATCTTTGTCAGGTAAATCTTCCCGAGGCCTAAAAAATGAGTTTCCAAACATGACATAGAGATACAAAAGAGCTACGGGGATGGCAGTTAGTGCTCTGAGGAAAAGCCTTCTGCTTATCCACAGAAGACCTGGGGCTTAATACTTACCGAATGAATGTAGGGTGTCCCCATGGCCTTAAGTTGTGTTTCTTTGTTATGGAACAGCTCCCAGACACTGCACACTGTAAACACTCCACAACTCTTTGTTGCATCAAACTGAATTCAGAGCCTATGCCCCTCTCCAACCACAGACAGTTATGTCACTATCAATAAAAGTTGACTGAGTAACCCTTGATGTAGATGTTCAAAGCATGTTAAATAAGCCAAACATAGTATTTACACACAATGGAATATTTTTCAGCCTTAATAAGGGATGCAATTCTGATAGATGCTCCAATATTGCTGAAACTTGAAGCCATTATGCTAAGTGAAATAAGCTAGCTAAGGGGCGCCTGGGTGGCTCAGTCGTTAAGCGTCTGCCTTCGGCTCAGGTCATGGTCCCAGGGTCCTGGGATCGAGCCCCGCATCGGGCTCCCTGATTCGGGGGGAAGCCTGCTTCTCCCTCTCCCACTCCCCTTGCTTGTGTTCCCTCTCTTGCTGTGTCTCTCTCTGTCAAATAAATACAAAAATAAATCTTTAAAAAAAAAAAGAAGAAGCTAAACACAAAAGGACAAATTTTGTAGGATTCCACTTATATGAGGTACCTAGAATAGGCAAATTCATACAGACAGAAAGTAAAATAGACATTAACAGGAGCTGGAGGGAGGAGGGAATGGGGAGTTACTGTTCAATGGGTAAGGAGTTCCTGTTTGAGTTGATGAAAAAGTTCTAGAAATGGATGGTGGTGACACAACGCTATGAATGTATTTAATGCCACAGAATTATACACTTAAAAACGATTAAAATGGTAAATTTCACACTATGTATATTTACCACAATAAAAAAAAAGGAATACTGTCCCCTTACATTTTCATATCACTTGTTACTATATTTTTTTAAAAGCCATGTCAAGTGTAGGAATGAATACATATGGCGAAGAAGTGTAAGATAAAGACCCAACTCCTGGGCGCCTGGGTGGCTCGGATGGTTGGGCGTCTGCCTTCGGCTCGGGTCATGGTCTCAGGGTCCTGGGATCGGGTCCTGCATCGGGCTCCCTGCTCCTTGGGGGCCTGCTTCTCCCTCTGCCTCTCTCGCTCTGTCTCTAATGAATAGATAAATAAAATCTTTAAAAAAAAAAAAAAAAAAGACCCAACTCCTTAGGCTGATTCACGTGCCATAGGCCACTGCTTTTTACTCCACCTCCCTAGCCTCAGCTCTGACCACTCCCCCATTCCTGCTCTATGTTCCACGCACAATGAGCCCTTCTCCTGACATCGAAAGAACTTCCTCTTGCCTCCAGGCCTTGGCATATGCTCTTTCCGCAGCCCAGAACTCTCCTCGTGGCCACCTCCCATCTGCAACCCCCACTTTGCCAGACTGCTCACACTTCAGTATACAGGTGCAGGTTCCACGTCCACAGAGGACAGTGCCCTGGGTGAGGAACCCTTCCCATGTGCTTCCACACCCCCGCGGGGGCCCTCTCATCGCGCTCATCACACGGGACAGTTCTTGTCCTCCCCAGTGAGGCTGAAAACCCTTTGGGGGTAAAGACTGTATCTTGTTTACCACTGAATCCCCAGAGCCCAGCAAAGTGGTCCCCACTAAAATACATTTGTGAATTCAATGAGTGACTACACGAATGAGGTCATGGTCTTTGCCTTCATAGGACCTGACTGGGAGAAGCCACCTTCTTCCCAAGGTTCAAGTCCTAGAGAACCAGAAAGCAGTCCTACCCTTTCCCATCCTGTCTTTAGCCAAAGGAAACCACCAAAGGCTGCTTTACATCAAACGGGAGAAAAGGAACCGGTACAAGGCCACTAGGCATGCCTTGGTTCCAAACCACAGGAGTTCTAAGTCTAAGTTTTCTGTAGATCCCACCCAGGCCCTTAGTTTCCCGTATCAACAAGCACTAACTGTATGCCTAGGCTTTGTAGGAGATTCAAAAGGAAACCATTGCTTCTGCCTTCGAAAGCTTACAAATAGTTTCATACCTAAAAATAAAGGATAAGAAAGATAGTGTGTGTGGACACAGTGTTCTGACGACCTGCAGAGGCTGATGAGATACCCCCCGTGGTGGGCTGAATTGTGCCCCCCAAATTCTTACACTGAATCCTAACCCTCAATACCTCAGAGTTTGAGTCCCTCAGTATTTGGAGATGGGGTCTTTAAGGAGGTAATTAAGGTAAAATGAAGTCATACAGACAGGCCCTAATCCAATATGACTGGTGTTCTTATTAAAAAGAGGAAATTAAGAGATTAAGAAACACTTATCATGATGAGCAGTGACTAACAGAGAATGGTTGAATCACTCTATCATATACCTGAAACCAATATAACACTCCGTGTTAACTATCCTGGAATTAAAATTAAAAACTTAAAAAAAAGATGAGGATGGGATGCTTGGGTGGCTCAGTCAGTTAAGCGGCTGCCTTCAGCTCAGGTCATGATCCCAGGGTCCTGGGATCGAATCCCGCATCGGGCTCCCTGCTCAGTGGAGAGCCTGCTTCTCCTTCTGCCTGCCGCTCCCCCTGCTTATGCTCGTGCTCTCTCTCTCTTTCTCTCTGACAAATAAATAAAATCTTTTTAAAAAAAAAGAAGAAGAGGATGGGATGCCTAGGTGGCTCAGTCAGTTGAGTGTCTGCACTGGGCTCAGGTCATGATCTCAGGGTCCTGGGATTGAGCCCCACATCCACTGGGCTCCCTGCTCAGCAGGGAGTCTGCTTCTCCCTCTGCCCCTCTTCCCACACATGCTTTTCTCTCTCTCTCAAATAAATAAAATCTTTAAAAAAAAAAAAGAGGAAATTAGGACAAAGACACACTGAAGGAAGACCATGTTAAAACATAGGGAGAAAATGGCCACCTACAAGCCAAGAAGAAAGGGTTCAGAAGAAAACAACTCTATCAACACCTTAATCTTGAACTTCTAACCCCTAGACTGTGAAAAAATAAATTTGTGTTGTTTAAGCCACACAGTCGAGGGTACTTTGTTACAGTGACCCTAGCAAACTAATACACCTCTATTTTAGCAACTCCTACAACACAGATAATGCTTTCCTTTTGTTTCCCACTGCCTCGTCATCATTTCTCTAACTGAACTGGTGTTTTAGTTTTAACCCAGCTTTCTCAAAGTCTACTACATGGGTAAAGGAAATCAACCCAGAATTTTGAGATAGGAGGCTAATAATGGAAGATTCCATGATAATTTACCTGCCTTGGAATTTGGAGTCAAGCTTTGAACCTGGACACAGTAAAGAGGGAGGTTTGGTGAAGGTAAATCCTGATAAATGATGATGAGCATGTCTCTTGGCTTGGATGCAGGAATCTGCTATGTTTACAATGGTGAGCACGGGGAGTTTGTCTGAGAAAACAGAACAGAAGAAAACATGTAATCTGTCAAAAGGAGCCAAACAGAAATAGTTCAAGGATCTTGTAAGGAAGAAGCAGGGCTGACTAATGCACCTTCATCATTTGGAGTTGTTTTACAGGGGGAGCCCAGGATTCGAGGGTGGCCCCTCTCAATACGGCGGATCGTGGCCCAGCATTGTGGATGCTGACAAATGGCCAACTTGCAGGTGGTTTCATCCCACTGGCTCTCATCTGGTAAGTCCATAGCTACAAATGGTTTAGGACAAAAGCCAATCTTGCAGCTTTCTAGCCCTCTAAAGTAACAAAAAACAGACAATTAGAGTGTATTATACCTCAGCCATGCAGTCCAAATCTTGGACTCAAAGCATAAAATATTTCTGTTGAACCCACATACATAAATGATGGTCACAGGATAATTAAGAATTGGGTAACAAGCTACTCAGTCATTAAAAAGAACGAAATCTTGCCATTTGCGACAACATGGATGGAGCTGGGGGTATAGCGCAGTGAAATAAGTCAATCAGAGAAAAGACAAATACCATATGATCTCACTCATGTGGAATTTAAGAAACAAAACAAAGGAAAAAAGATACAAGCCAGAAAACAGACCCTCAACTATAGAGAACAAACTGATGGTTACTAGAGGGAAGGTGGGGGGAGGGGCGTGGAGGGTGAAATAGGTGATAGGGATGAAGAGTGTTCTTATTGTCATGATCACTGAGAAATGTATAAAACTGTTGAATCACTATATTGTACACCTGACACTACTATAACACTATATGTTGACCATATTATAATTAAAATTAAAAAAAAAAAACTGGATAACAACCAAGTATGAAAACATCTCAGCATGAAGTAGAGTGGCAAGAGTTTTTGGAGCAGACTAACTTCATAAAGTCTCCGACTTGGCCATTTAGTAGCTGAGTGACCTGGGTCTTAAGCAATCTGAGCTACAGGTTCCTCATCTGCAAAATAAGGATAAGCCTGTTTCACAGGATCATTACAAAGATTAGTTAATGGATATTAAAAGGTCTGGATATTAAAAGGGCGCCCGGGTGGCTCAGTCGGTTAAGCATCTGTCTTTGGCTCAGGTCATGATTTCAGGGTCCTGGGACTGAGTCCCACGTCGGGCTTCCTGCTCAACGGGGAGTCTGCTTCTCCCTCTGCCTCTACCCTTCCCCCCTGCTTGTGTTCACTCTATCATGCTCTCTCTCTCTCTCAAATAAATAAATATTTTTTTAAAAAGTTCTGGCATATAGTTCAAAATAAGTATTAGCATCCTTTCTTTTTCCCCTTCATTAATCATTAGGGAGAAGACACCATCATCTCTAAAAAGCCTTATCAAATCAGAACTAATATAACCACAGAAGTACTTGAGATGGCTTTAGATGGTTCACACCTTTGGAAAACATGCTTCATTTTGCAATATGCTCCAATTCTCATACAGGCAGCTTAAATACCCACCAGAAATGAATGGGTTTGCTCAAACAGTAGATCAGTAGACTTACAGTTACATCAGAGGCCTCTGGCTTTTCATTTACTGGCTGTACTGTCGTAGGCAAGTGATTTCACGTCTCTCAGCTTGTTTCCTCATATAAAGAGGGGACAGGAAATCCCTAAGTAGGATTGTGGAAGCATTAAGAGAAATAACGTACTTTTATGTATGATACGTAATAGGGGCTCAATAAATAGTATTATCTTTCTCTAGAAATATTTTAGGCAATCACTACCACCTGGTCCTTAACGCGATTATTACAAAGTTGGGAGGGGTGAAAAGATTAAAGGTGGACATTAGGTCCCCTTTTTAAGGACAGTATCCATTTCTTCTTCCTTTTATTCAACACATTTATTGACTACCAAATATGTGACGGGACATGTTGCAGGCATAGAGAACAGTAATGAACAAAATAAGTCCCTGTTCTAAAGAACTTATAAATTAAACCAAAGATAATGAATTATTGGTATGGCATCGCACCTGCCCTATGACTCGTTTTGTTTGGCCTACACTTTGAGCCACTTTTTTAAGTGGAAATAGTCCACAGTATTCAGATTTATGACTCCTCTTAAAGATCAAAATATCTTTTACATCAACATGGATGGGACTGGAGGAGATTGTGCTAAGTGAAATAAGTCAAGCAGAGAAAGTCAATTATCATACGGTTTCACTTATTTGTGGAACATAAGGAATAGCATGGAGGACATTAGGACAAGGAAGGGAAAAATGGGGGGGGGAATTGGAGGGAGAGATGAACCATGAGAGACTATGGACTCTGAGAAACAAACAGGGGTTTAGAGGGGAGAGGGGAGGGGAGAGGGGGGATTGGTTAGCCTGGTGATGGGTATTAAGGAGGGCACATACTGCATGGAGCACTGGGTGTTATACGAAAACAATGGATCGTGGATCACTACATCAAAAACTAATGATGTACTGTATGGTGACTAACAGAACATAATAAAATTTAAAAAAAAAAATCAAAATATCTGACAACACAGGGGTCCCAATTCCAACTAGACAGCAATTGGATGGAGGGGAGTGTCTCCTGGTATCTTTAAACCAGAACTGTTCTCTCCAAATGGCGAATTCTCTCAACAAACCCTATAATCTCTAACTAATGCAGTTTCAGTTGCCGTTTATCACCGTGTTTGCTGTTGTTTTTCTCCTAATAGGGGAAGAATTCCTCTGTACTCATGTCTCTGTCAAACGCTGGAAAATTGGGATGCCTGGTTGGCTCAGTAGGTAGAACATGTGACTCTTGAACTCTGGTCATGAGCACCAGCCCTAGGTTGCCTGTAGAAACTACTCAAAATAAATAATTTTCTTTTTTAAAAAGCAGGAAAATTAAGGGTGACGTGAGACAGCATGTTTCAAGAAAAAAAAGCATTCCTGCTCGCTCAGTGGGATCGAAGACAATTTCTACCTACACAACATGAAAATGATACAACTTAAGAGCCACTGCAAAACCATGCTAAAGCTTTTGACTGCGAAATACGTATGATGCGTAAGTCAATGAACTGAAAAATACAAATACAATTTTAACAGGGTTTGTTTTTTAATGGAATGCAATGTCGCGTTATCCTTAAAACCGGCTGCTTGCTGCCCTTTCGTTACCTGACCAGCCCGAATTGAGGCCCGAGGTCTACCTGTGCCCATTTCTATGTCGCCAGCGTTAGCGCTGTACTGGCAAAGGAGTTTGCGTTCAACAATTTTGGGGACAATTATCCTTAGTGCGATTATTACAAATTTGGGAGGGGTGAAAAGATTAAAGATGAACATCAGGTCCCGCAGAACTGAAAGAAGATACCCGCTTCGTTCCAGAAGAGGGACGTGGAAGGGTTCGGCCTCGGAGGCCCGCGCTAACAAAAGGCACGCCAAACTGCCAGAAAGCCGAAATCCACTCAGCAAACGTGACCCCTCCGACCGCCTGGGAGAGGAGGCGGGGCACCGCCCCACGTCGGAAGGAGCCCCGCCCCGTCCGCTCAGTCCACGCCTCCGTCTCCCGCGCTAGCCGCCAGGCAGCGCCGTTGCCAGGCAGCGGCGCAGAGCACTGTGGGGAAGGGACGGAAGCTCCAGTGAGCCATACTTGAGCTGATGAGAAGTCTCCAGACATGGTGGCGGCAAGAAGCAGGGAAACGAACCTGGGAAGGAGCGCTGGATCCCGGTGGGGTCGGACGGAAGCCCGGAAGGGCCAAAACCGTAGCGACGTGGAAAGTTCGGAGGCTTGGGCGACTCGAGGCGGAGGCGGGGCTGGGTGAAGAGGGAGGCTATGGCGCGCGGGGCACTGTGGGACACAGTGTGGGCAACGTGGGGCGTGACGGAAGCCTTTTTGGGTCAGACTGTGGCGACGCGGGAAGTCCGGACGCCTTGGCGGCCTGAAGAAGAGGCTTGAGACGTAGGCGCGGGCCGCGGCGCCGGCGGCAATGGCGGAGAGGCCCGAGGACTTAAACCTGCCCAATGCCGTCATCACTAGGATCATCAAGGAAGCGGTGAGCAGCTCTGGCTGGCGGATGGGCCAGGGGCGGAAGGGCGGGCAGCGGGGGAAGCAGGTCTTGGGCCGGCAGCTTTATTCACCCACGCTCTTTTTACAGCTCCCGGACGGTGTCAACATCTCCAAGGAGGCCCGCAGCGCCATCTCCCGCGCTGCTAGCGTCTTCGTGCTGTACGCCACTTCTTGGTGAGGCGGGCTGAGCTAGCCAGAGCTTAGCTGGGGCTGGGGCTGGGGCGTAAGGGAGCCGCAAAGAGACCCCCTGGCCTGTAGTCCACAAACCCCAACAATTGTGCCTTATCTCAGTGCGGGGAAGATTCACCCTTATCCAGTTCTTGCAAGGTCTGAAACAAAATAAAACAGCAAAATTACCCTTTGTACAGGGAAGGGAGGGACTTAACACGTCACCAAAATCCATGCATCTAAGACCTAGGCTTTTCCATACCACCTCTGGTGCCCCTTTTCCATCCCTTACGCGGCAGGAGGGGGTCTGACAGCCCCCTGACGGCCTTTACTCTTTTTCTTTCAGTGCCAACAACTTCGCAATGAAAGGGAAACGCAAGACACTGAATGCCAGTGACGTGCTCTCAGCCATGGAAGAGATGGAGTTCCAGCGGTTCGTTACCCCGTTGAAAGAAGCTTTGGAAGGTAATGACCCTTTCCTTTGTTCAGCCAAGTAGAAGATGTTCACCTGGCCCTGAGTCTTCTCAGCTTGGGTCCCTGTAAGGACAGGAAGTAAGTATTGGATGTGACTCAGAATCAGTCCAGTTGGCACCACCTCAGATCCGATTTGTAATGCTGAGCAGGTTATTTTTCCTTCTCTGCCCCAGCTTTTCTGGTTGTACAGTGGAGTTAGCTGCTGTGGTCTGTTTGGTTCAGCCCTGCCTCCTGACTCCCATCTTCCTCCTTACAGCATATAGGAGAGAGCAGAAAGGCAAGAAGGAAGCTTCAGAGCAAAAGAAGAAGGACAAAGACAAAAA